GGAGTCACCAGCCGACATTGGCTGGCAGATGGAATCCGGAGGAGACCCAACCTGTGCGATCTAATTGGTCTGAGATGTCACAATACATCACATGACACCGCCATGACAATATGAGTTTGACACCCCTGTCCTAGTATAACTTGCCCTCATAAAGCTGGCGGTGATATATGGCTCAAAATGAGAAGCCAGCAATTCAGTAGTCCTGATCCTTGATGTTATGTTATAGGGATAACATCAGATTGGAAAATAATACAAAGTAAATATTAGTCTAATATATTAATTGATTAGTGGTTTTCCGCTATCATTCTTCAAAAGACTATGGGCTAGGGACTGCTATGGTAAGTATTTGGCTTTGATTACAAAATCCTGCAAACAAACAGCTAAGAATGACTCTCCTTTTCATATTTCTTAAGAGTTTCCCAGAAGCATCTGGCCAATTACTGTAAAATGTCACATCTGAGCCCATAGACAAGACAGTGAAATCTAATTGAGTTCAATCCTCTATTTGCTTATACCTAATCAACAAGGTATTGCCAAACTAAATATATAAACGTTTAACCTATAAAATATAACCATTGAGATTCTAGGGTATGGTTAGCCTGAACCTCTCCTCCATCCATCCATTTCCATCTTAGGACTAAGCAGTCTCTTAATTCAGGCATCTTTCTAGGAGGGTTCTGACTTGGCAAAATCACGTCCCTTGTTTCTGCAGATGCACATTCCACCACAAAAAAGACAAGAGTAGATGGTTTAACACAACACAGACTGTCTTACCTTCTTCCCTTTTTTCCCCTTATCTTTTTATCTTCTGAGAAGGATTAAGAGGAAGCTCTAAGTGCATTTTCTTTCCCCACAAACATTTCTCCTTCTCTCATGTCTCAATTTTTTTTTATTACAACGGCATACTCATTAAATATGAATGAAAGAGTGCTGTAAATTATAGGACTTTTTAAATGTTTTTGTAATATAGGCCAAAGCAAATATTCATGAAACCTGTTACTTTTCAAATTTTCCTCATGGTTTGAAACATTTTTACTTTGGCACTATTCCCATTTGAAGCCAGGCCTGCTGTGTTTTAGTACCCATAAAAATCCTATTGGGATGTGTAATAGCTTGGTATTTCCCTAATGTTTTTCTGTAATTTTGCTGCTTTTGGATTTTAAACAAATGCAAGAACTACATTCTATTACATATCTTAATCTAACATTTCCCCCCCTTTTCAGTTATAACTTAGCCAACTTTACTGTTTCCAGGAGTATAATGGATAGAAAGTTTGAAGTTGTTAAACATGTGAATATGAGTTGTGATAAGAAAAAGAAAAATGTAATAGAAGTAGTTTTTTCTTCCTCTTCTGTTCAATCATAACTGATTCTTGGAATCTACTTGGACAAGTCCCTGAAATTTTCTTGCCAAGGTTTTTCAGAAATGGTTTGCCACTGCCTCCTTAGGGTTGAGAGAAGGTGACTGGTTCGTGGTCACCCAGCTGGTTTTGTTTCTAAGGCAAGACTAAGAACTGATTTTCTAGTGCCTCAAACAATTTTAAAATTAGTTATTACTGCATCCAAGATGCAGAAAAGGTAATGAATAGCAAATTCTGTGTAAACCTGAAGAAGTGTCTCAAATATCTTTTAGAACTTTTGTACACATTAATTTGAATATGTATTTATTTAGTTATAGTTAGTAGGCTGCCTTAATGTAAGTAGAGTCTATAGTCTTGATGTGTCCTGGTTATCCAGTTTCCATCTAAGGATACAATTCTATGGATGTACTTTCAAATATGCACAGGATTCCTTTGAAATGAATGACGAGTCATGTCCAAAGCATGAAATAACTGTAGATACCTTTCACATAATGCATTTATTTTTATATGCTCACTCATCTTAATTGGGCATGGTGGGGGGAAAAACAGTTTCTTCTTCTTTGGTTCTGATGTATACAAAATTTGGTTCTGTGAACTCTCAAAAGCTGATTCTTTTGGCTGAAAAATAAAATCTTGAGTGACCTTATAGTACGTTGAACTTTTATAAATTCTTAATAAGAATTTCAGTCTGGGTTGAGGCTAATGAAATGACATTGATTACACTTGTCAATGACCTTTGGAGGGCTCAGGATGGAGATGGTACAACCCTGGACCTCTCAGTGGCTTTCAATATCATCAATCATATCTTTCTGGACTAGTTTCAATGTTACTCTGGGTTATACTCCTTCCTGATAGGGGAGGGAAGTGGAGAGGAGGTCCCAACAATGTGGACTATCCCAGAGTTCAAGTATTTTACCACTCCTTTTTAACATCTACATGAAACTGCTAGGGAAGGCCCTATGTTGGCATAGGGTCCGATATCATCAATATACAGATGATACTCAATTATACATCTCCAACCCTACCCAGAAAGATGATGCTTTGGTGATTCTGGTTGAATCTTTGTAGGTTGTAAAGATCTGGATTAGGAGGAACCGGCTTCAACTCAACCTTAACAAGATGCAGTGGCAAGATGGGATTTTGCCTCCCCAGGTCCAAATAATACATTATCTTTGACTCTTGATGAAGTGGCACTTTTACAGACTGAGCTGGTATGCAATTTGAGGAGCAGGTAGCAGCTGTGCCTAAGGGGCCCTTTGCAAAACTCCATCTAGTGTGCCTGTTCATAGTCATTCATGTCTTGGTTACCTCCCAGCTGCAACACAGTCTATGTAGAGCTGCCCTTGCAAACTACGCAGAAGCTTCACCTGGTCTAGAATACAGCAGCAGGCACAATAATGGGTGTCCCTATGTTTGCCCATGTTACAATACTGCTTTGTTTCTTTCTGGATGCAATTCAAGGTGCTGATTGTCTCCTTTAAAGCTCTTTGTGTCACAGGACAAGGTTATCTGCAGGACTATCTTTCCCTAAAGACATCTACCTTTCCTACCAGGTGAGATAGGGTGGACAATCTTCAATCCTTTCCCTTAGATATTATCATCTTGTGGGAGCTAGAAGTGTGGCTCTTCCATGACAGCCCCCCTCTTCCCCCTATGAAACACTCTGGTCCCTGAAACTCAGCTACCCTCTTAGCTTTCTCTAAAGCTTTGAAGACTAGCTTTCCCTCCCAAGTGGTGGGATAAGATGAGGTGAGTGCACATCAGAAGTTTGTCTTGGTGCCAGATTTTAATTTTATATTTAGTTTTAATATTATTTTTATTTTTCATTTTATTTATTTGTATCCTGTCTTTATTATTTTTACAAATAATACAAGGTGGTGAACATATCCAACACACCTTCCTCCTCCTATTTTGCCTAAAAAATAACCATGTGTGGTAAGTTGGGTTAAGGGGGAGTGACAGGTCCAAAGATGCCTTTCACAGCTAACTTGACTTGAACTCACAGTCTCCTCCTTTCTAGCCTTTTCTAGCCTTAACCACTAGACCAAATATGGTTTTAATGGGGTCTTAACTTTTGACTGGAAGCCTTCCAGAACTGATTATAAGGTAAGCAGTTCTATAACTATTACAAATAAATAAGTACATTTACAAGAAATTAAACCTCATAAAATGTTAAAATTATACACATTTAACATGCTTCACCAATCCTAAAAATATTTCATTCCAAATGATAGTTTATTTAAATGCTGTACAATTGTATAATATAAATAAACAAATAAAGAGGGAGATCTTGACAAAAGAAGATTGGACATGCTAACTTAAATTGAGAATATTTTCTGAAAATATCTTACTATATGTTTCATAAAAAAAACTAATTGTAAAACTCCTACATATAATAAGCAAATGTACTCTCAGATTTCATGCTGAACAAGAATAGTCTGTCAGTAATCAGAATAGCTAACCATTTGTTTTATGTGACAGATTTAATATGCACCATTAATAGTACCAGTACATATAATATTAGAAATGTGTTCATTTAGAGTACTCATATGAACATTATAACAAAAATGTATTTATCATTCCAGCAGATTACATACATACACATTCATTTTCTAAAGTAACTATAAAAACTAAACATTATATATAAATATTCTCAGTAACTTAATATATTGAATTACATATACAAAGTTCATATTTCATAAAATCAATACAAGTCTTAGTGCTGAATGATCATGCTTCCTCTGACTGTTGGAGTAGCAGTAGCTCGTTCTCGTTCTTTTGCAATTTCCAATTCAATTTTAGCTTTGATTTTTTCCCAGTTAACATCAAGCTGCAAAATCAAGAGGGAGGGGGAGAGAAAATATTTTTATCTGGACAGAAAAAAATTTATGAGTGGCTGTTGTGTGTGCATACATGTATCTGGGGTTTCCTTAGTTTAGCCCAAGAAGATTGTTTAGGCTTGCTCTGAGGTTCTGCATTTTATCTTTGGTTCAAAACTTTCATAATTTTAAGTTAGGGGGAAAATACTAATATTATGACAGAAAATACCAAATTATGTACCTTAAATACAAACAATCCTCAGGTTATGTTAACAATTGGGACTGGCATTGCATTCACTAAATGATACAATTGTAAAATGCAATTTCACATGACCATACAACTTAGTGACAGCAATCCTGGCAGTTCTGGTAGCTGTTGTAACCTCAAGATATGTGGAACATTAAGTGGGAAGCTGTAGGAGTCCCAGGTAAGAAGTAGATGATGCTGTAAGGTATGGAAAAGGCCATGAGAGATCCAGGGGTGGGGAGAGGACTGGTACAAGACACATGTGAGCTGAAAGAGCCAGATGTTACCTGAGAGGCTTGGCATCAGCTGCACATGACTCAAGGGAAGATGGGGTGGGTTTGGGAGGTCAAGTGCATGCCATGTGCAAATCTAGGAAGAGCTTGCCCAGGGCAGACAGCATGTGAGTCGAGAGAGGCTAGAAGAGGGCTTTGGTATCCTAGCACAGATTGTACATGTCGAGGGAGGCCTTAGAGGCCCGGTGGAGGCTGTATATTAACAGTGGGGCTGCTATAGGTGAGAGCAACTGTAGGTTATCAAAGTAACTTGCAACTTTCCACCTAGCATTTGGGGAGGAAAACAAGAAAAAAAAATCTGCCTCTGCCTTCCAGTAATTTGCCTCCTTGTAGCAAATAGCAAACAGCCTGGTCAACTTCAAAGTTTCAAAGTTTAATAGCATTTCTATGCCGCCCAATCCCATAGGACTCCGGGCGGCTAACAATACAAATAAATCAAAAGGGAATAAGAGGAAAGAAAAGATAGATTAAAAAAAAAATACCATGCAGTCCATTCCAAGTGGGGCTGAACCATATTTTGGGGTCAACAGCCCCAGGCCTGCTGGAACCTGCTGCCAGGTTTTAGTGGCCTTACGGAAGGCCGAGAGAATGGGAAGGGTTCAGATCTCTGCAGCGAGATCATTCCACAGGGCCGGAGCAGCTACAGAGAAAGACCTCCCCCGAGTAGTCGCCAACCGGCATTGCCCGGTTGACGGTACCCGAACTTCAGCACAGCCTGGGAGGCAGAGGCCAAAGAGTGGGGGCGGGTGAGTGGGGTTTGGCAACATTCACTCTATAAGACACACAGACATTTCCACCCACTTTTGGGGAGGAAAAGTGTATCTATAGACTGAAAAATATGTTAGTTACAAGATTTGAGTAAAATAAAATAAAATGACCATTAGTAATGTATTTCTTTCCTCAAGTACAGTACTTTATGCATTCTAATAAGCTTTTTTCTCATCCTGCATATATCTTGTAACAATGTACATTTTGTTTACAAATAAAACTGCACAAAAAGTATTAAATTAATTACTTTAACAAGAAATTACTTCAACAGTAAGATGCTAATTTTAACAATACAAATGTCAATTGCAGATAAACTCAGCTGGTGAGAATGGACTAGGGCAGTGTTGGCGAACCTTTTCAGCACCAAATGTCAAAATGGGACTGCACACATGGACGTATCGGAAACAGGAAGAGCAGCTGCTCTTCCAGTTTCCGGCGCTCCCACATATGTGAAGACCAGCTGGCCAGCGTTCTTGTGCACATCGGAACCTAGAAGAGCAACAGGCACTGGCTGGCGTGCCCAGAGAGATGGCTCTACGTTCCACTTCCAGCATGCATGCCATAGGTTTGCCATCACTAGGGAGTATTATCTTAAAGGAATCACACTTTTTAAAGGACATGAAATGGATTCAGAAGAGAGCTATTAAGGTGATAATAGGTCTAGAAATCAAGGAGATGAGTGCATTTCTTTTCAAAAGAGAAAACTATAATAATCATGCTGCCCTTTGTATTTATTTATTTTGTGGATTTAAATTATTTTATCATTTTAGAATTGTAAGCTGTTGAGAGTCACATGGTTGAAATTTGGCAACTACAGAAATTGAATCAGCAATCAGTCAGTCAGTCAGTCAGTCAGTTAATCAAAGTGATCTAACAAATATCTAAAAAGCAATCACATGCAAAAATGGTGATGCCTGTTTTCTCTTGAAACTGAGAACAGAAAAAATGACCAGTAGGAAGCAATTAAAAGAAAATAAAGGAGATTTAGCTTGAATACTATGAGGAATTTCCAGATGGTAAGAACAGTTAAGTAGAGGAAAAGACTGCCTATAATAATGGTGGGAGTCCTTTAGTCCCCCATATTGAAGGTTTTCAAACAAGGGTTGCATAGCACCCTTCCAGAGATGGGTTAGAGAATTCCTGCACTGCTCTACCATATTTTTCCCACTATAAGACGCACTTCACCCCCACCCACCCCCAAAAGTGGGTGAAAATGTCTGTGTGTCTTAGAGCAAATATTGCAGCAGGGGGAGGGGGTTGGTGCGACTGCACCTGTCATCGTTGCCCCTGTTCACTCCCACTGGGGAAGACTGGAGCCTTCGCTAATAGCAGCTGCTTGGCGGTTGGATCGGCCTCCAGGAATACTGCCATCAGTTGTTCTAGGTGATGGGGATCGCCGTCACCTATTACCACTGCTACCTATCGCCGCCTATTACTGACGCCGCCTATCACCGTGACGGTGAATGGCAGCAGCGGCAACGATCCCCGCCACCTAGAACAGCTGATCAGTGGTATCCTGGGAGGCCAACCCAATGGCCAATCAGCTGCTTGGAAGCAAAGGCTCCAGTGTTCTCTGACAGAGGTAGCAGACACAGAGGAAGCAGGCTGTTTGCTGCAAGGACACTAGCCAGATGAATACCGGATGGATGCTGGGAGAAAGAGGCAGGTTTTTTTTTCTTGTTTTCCTCCTCTAAAGCTAATGTGTGCCTTATGGTCTGGTGTGTCTTATAGTGCAAATAATATGGTATATGATATTATCTAAGTCATATATTCTGATTTTACAAAATACATATATTTTGTAGAACAGAGGAAAAAACAGAATATTGTAGTCCATTTTCTTTTATAATGATCTCAGTTTGATGAATTAGTTAATTTAAAAAAAAATACTAAATGACCAAATCCTCAAAACTGCCTAAACCATGAATCAAGTTCTTTGGCTCCAAGAATGTGTTATATTTCCCCCCTCTGTGATAAACTTGCAATCACATGAGAATAGGATTCTGAAATAAAATTATTTGGATTTCAGCTGTCTTCCTTCCCAACTATGTACTATGGCTCTAATTCCATCAAATATGCCATGATAGCTGCTGTGATTTCAAAGCCATATGAAGCCTTTCTTTTCCACAACTATTTTATCTTGTTTCAGGGGGCTGTTTCTGTGATGTATTGTGATATATTCAAAACTTGCCAGATACTACTGGCTCGGTTGAGTCCCATATGACAGTATTGCAAGTTTCTATCTTGTTATGCAAAGGAGTGTGAACATTACAGTGCAGCTTGCCAAAAGCAGCATATGATTTTCAAATAAAACTCAGTTTCCCTTAGAGAAGTTTTAATAAGCTAAGCAGCATGTCTATTGTTGTAATGTTTCCTTCAGAATGCCACATCAGAATAAGCTAAGGCAAGATCTTTCACTGGATTAGCCTGTATTGATGAAATCATAAACCTGAAAGCTTTAGCAGCAATCCCCCCCTTTCATATTTATCTTTTCCTATAAAACAAAAATACTATACCTATATTATCTAACTCTACAGTATTTCCACAGTATGATTTTCATAACTGTAAAGAGATATCCACTAACATACTTTGGCCCTATTCCATCAATGCTAATAACTGAGCCTCAAAGTGAAAATCTTGAAACAAAATCAAGTTGTTGATTTTGTTTCATACTGTGAATTAAAGTATAAGCACACAGTGTTATTAAATACACATTGGCTTACAGTCCGAAATTGTTTCATAGCTATAAAGCAGAGTTTCAAAAACTATAACTCAACTTCCAGAGAATACTTACCCCTTCTGCATATTGCAAAAATCGCTGATTCGTTTCTTTTTTACTGAAGTCATCCAAGAACTTTTGTCGGTAAGCCAGCACTGTGTCAACGTGCGTCTTGTGTTTCACAGCAAGTTCTAGTGCTCTAGAAGAAAGCAAAACAGTAATAAGCTCATCAGGCCGAATTCAGAAATTAAAATGATCACAAATGCCTTGGTTTTATAAATATGCACACTATACAGCAACTGCACTAAGGAAACATTTTCTTATCATAAAGCAAGAAGAAACCAAGCATTAAGGCCAGCAATGATTGCTTTAATTGAAAACTACTTTCCCCATTAAATAAGTTTATGTTTTTTAATCATTTTAAGCTATATTTTCCCGCAAATAGTGGTCTTCGTAATTGTTGGATGGTCTAAAGAAAAGCAATAATACCAATGAACAATTCTGTTGAACCTTCTTGCTTTTCTGTCCCACTTTCATGGTATCTTACTAATGGACAGCAGTTCAATTAAAAAAAATATTCCCACTCTTTTGTGATTATGTAGAAGGCTCTACATGTACAATAAGCATATGCAAATCAAAACATACACATCACATAAATTTCCTTTCTATGAAACTTTAGACTGGAAACTTCAAATTTAGCCCTTAACTTTCTAAAACAGTAACAGCTTCCTATTACCAATATAACAATTACTTCTTTGCATCGAGAAGACCTGAGATTAGTATAGCTGTCAGTAACATTTTTTTCTTTAAAGGACTAGAAACAAAAACCTGGTAGTATATCAGTCTTGTTGAAACTGAACACGTATAAGCTTAGGCAGTGTCAAAATGAGACACTGTTAAGAAAATATAAGTATGCTGGGAGTTGGTATGCATTTTATCAGTTAATAAATAGTATGTTATTTTTCTATGTTAACCTATGTCATGTTCATTATAAAGTAGGTGAGAACACCACTGCTCCATATTTATAGATTGGCATAAGATCTGAACTTTTAGAGAAGAATAGCTAACGCTACCTTGTGGTATTTCAGAGATTTCACAGATGGCATTTTTAGAATTGAGGTTTATGTTAGAAAAATCATGAAAATCAAAATCATTCTAAACTCGGGATAATTTCTTTTTAAAGAAACCAACCTGAAGGAGGGAAGCAGAGAGCCAAAGAACTACGCCCATCCCCCAAATACATTTTAGGTGCCTTCTTTATCTGGGTTTTAGCCATGTGAGCAGCGTACATAATCAGGAATACACAGAGCTAAAGATGTTATAATAATTTTATAATCAGGTACAAAACCTCTTTAAAAAAAAAAAGTCTGTGTAACAGAATGGGATTGGGGCCTGTGCTTCTTTATCAATAATTCCACATGCCATGTCACAAACTTTGGTATATATTACATCAACACTAATTCTGAAAGAAAAAAAAAGGAATTGGAATGGGACAAAATTACGTAAGTTATCATTTAAACCAGTGCTTCTCAACTTTGGTTGCTTGAAGATGTGTGGACTCCAACTCTCATAATTTCTGAGCCAGCATAGATGGCTTGGGAATTCTGGGAGTTGAGGTCCACATATCTTCAAGCTGCCTAGGTTGAGAAATGCTGATTTAAACTGTTAAATCCAAGTCTGAACCAAGACAAAAATATATATTGTAAAATGTTATAAAAGAACCGTATTACCTTTCCCAGTTGTATAGATTAATATTAACTTGAATCGCCTGGTAAATAAGCCCAGCTTGCAGAAGCAAAGTTTCAGCATCCTGGACATTTCCACTAAAAAGCAGAATATGAGCCATTCTTGATTCTTTTGATGGAAGATCTTTGATGGAACTGATATACTGAACTTTATCAATCTGTTGGTTTTTTAAAAACAACAACAACATGTGAGAGGCACAATAAAGTTGGTTAAACTCTAGTTTTGCAATAAGTTAAATAATGCAGCAAATGCCAAGTCCTTTAAATTGCAACAAGTTAGCATGAAATATTATCAATCAATCAGTGAAAGTTACTAAGTAGTGAACCGTTCTACTTACCTCACCAATTGATGCATAGGCTATTTCTGCTGTGTTCATATCTTTATTGGCGATTGCCATAGCAGCTAAACAAGCCCATAATGTTTGATCCTGAGAAGAAAATATTAAAATAACTGTTCTTCTTATAGAGTATAAACATTAATCTTATGCCACATTTGATATGAATGTAATTTAACCACTACCTAAGAATCAATGGGCTATCCATATTCTTATACATTTATAGTGCAGTGTATTGCCAGATTATATATACATTTAATAAAGAAAAAACTACAATAATATACAAATCATGTACATAAAAACATCTAAAATAGCATAACTATGTCAATAAGTGTTCAAATACCAATGGTATGAGTCAGGGGTGAAATTCAGCAGGTTCTGGAGAACCGGTAGCAGAAATTTTGAGTAGTTCGGAGAACCGGCAAACACTATCTCTGGCTCGCCCCAGAGTGGGGTGGGAATGGAGATTTTGCAGTATCCTTCCCCTGGAGTGGGGTGGGAATGGAGATTTCGCAGTATCCTTCCCCTGCCACGCCCACCATGCCACACCCACAGAACCGGTAGTAAAAAAAATTGAATTTCACCACAGGTATGAGTTTGTGATAATAGAAAAACAGAATCACCTCTCATATCATAAAAACAAACATTTAGATAGCATTATAAAAGAGAATATACAGTATGTAGCTCAGGGTTGAACTGTGGAATCCTCTGAGATTGTTTATTTGCAGAAATTTCATTACCTGACTAGGGAACATCTTAGAAAGGAATGTGTTTTGCTCTGTGTTTATATATCATAGTTTGTTCTATCAGTGCTTGTGGGGGTGTTGTTTTCTCTGTGGTAGTTTCTTGATTAAGCTGGTGTTTAATGCTTGCTTGTTTTTCTGAGTTGTTAGTTTCTTGATTAGGGAATGATTTACTGCTTTACTGGTTGTCTGGTGTTAATTCTGAAATTAATCCCTGATTATCAGGCTGTTGGAAACTAGTAATTTGCATTTATTTGCTCTCACTATAGCAGATACATGATTTAATAAACATAAGTGAATCAAAATTAACTGAGATTCAGAATATTTCTATTTACTTAACTAGCACTTTTCCAGAGCAACTGGATACTTGTGGCAGATATCTATAGTTCTCTTTCAGTAAACAGAGAAAATGTAAATATGTAAGATTGTCAGATTATTTAAAAGTAATATGTTTGTTCCTTACAGCTTTCTAAGAAGATGGGGAAAGAAGAATGAAAAAGGAATGATAGAGAAAAGGAAACTACTCCCAATTGTCTTTATGGTACATGCAAATGAGTTAGATGCTTTCTTGTGAAAGCTTTGCACAGCATCATTCATTACCTGATGGAATGTCATATTAGGAAAAAAGAGTCCCTGCATTTTGCTTTACAATAAGAGCCTAACAGAACCATCATATCTGACAATTATCTAGGATACAGGAAAGGTGATGAAGATTTTTTTTTAAAAAGAAACCAAATAAATATTCCTGCCGTTTTGGTAACCACAGAGGAACTCGCTCAGTTTGCTTTCTCTTTTGTGTTCATTTTGCACCTGCTACAAAACTACTGTACATGTTGCTAGGAGATGCAATGCACTAGTGCACTGTGATAAAAAGGCTATTCTTGAAGGAAGTTATGATAAGCAAGCAAGAGGCTATTGTATGTTCCTTCCCACCCACCCCCATCCTTAAATGACTGCTCTTATGTACAGAAATCAGAATGTAAATAGTGTTATGTTAATAGCCAAACCTACAGTTAAGCTGCTCAGAAATGAATACATAACTCTCTGGTGGCAAGTATAATCAGAAAGGCAGCCAAACATTAAAGCATAATGTCTCCAGTTTATTAGCAAAGAACAGACAAACATATTTTGAAATATATTTGAAGTTGAGTACTGTTAACAGTTTGAGGCAGAGGAAAGTACAGGTAGTCCTCAACTTACGATCACAATTGAGCCCAAAATTTCTCTTGCTAAGTGAGACATTTGTTAAGTGAGCTATGTCCTATTTTACAACTTTTGCCACAGTTGTTAAGTGTATCACTGCAGTTGTTAAGTTAATAACACAGTTGTAAAATGAATCTGACTCCCCAATTGACTTTGCTTGTCAGAAGACTGCAAAACGTGATCACATGATCCTGGGACACAGCAACTGTCATAAATATGAGTCAGTTGCCAAGCATCTGAATTTTGATCACGTGACTACAGGGATGCTGCAATGGTCATGTGGAAAATGGCCATAAGTTATTTTTTTCAGAGTCCTTGTAACTTTGAATAGTCACTAAATGAACTGCTGTAAGTTGAGGACTACCAGTAGAAGATACAGTATGTATAGTTTTTCTAAGCAGCAGGCCTCTTTCAGTGCATCACAAGTCAGGCAAATAAAATTACTTTGGAAAACATTTTATGATGGGGGTCTGAAGGGATTATTGCAATCTAAAATTTAAAGAAGTCACATGTCTCTCCCTCATTAACCTTTTTCTAAAAGTTAACATTATATTTACCTTGACAAAACGACATAATCTGATGGCATCTTCCCATTTCAAATTGTTCACATATTCATGAAGAATAGCTGGGTATGGTGAAATACTAATGTGAATAAGTGAGCCATCGGCTCTTCTGATTGTTACCTGATTGCCAACAAAACTTAAGATCTGGGGACTTTTACTAAATTCACTATTAGGAAAAAAGAACAGAGTTCAGAAACATTATTTTAGAATTAATGTAACTTAGATAGAATACTGATGAAACAGAAAGACATTCCATTTAAAATAACAACTATGATCTCTTTCTGAATATGTACTGATCATGGTGGAAATAACGCTGGACACTCCTGCTCTGCTAATCTAGAATTTACTGATTAAGAAGTAATATACAGCCCAATTTTGTATATCTTTTTTAAAATTGTTCAGTCCAAAAAAATCTGGAAGTTTGTATTCTGAAACGTCATATTTAGTAAACTTAGCAACTGACAAGTTAGGTATTTCTCTATTAAGTATGTATAACCAATGGTTCATATTAATGTCCCTGCCCTGAACTCCATCTACAGCCTTCAAACAAAATGGCCAATGTATCCAAAAATGTGACTTTGGGTGTATATGTAATTTTTTTAAAAAAGTGTTGAAATTCTGCATTTCAATTGCACACCTTGTCTAAACTCCAGAAACAAAGTTAAACACAGCTAAAATTTGCTGGAATTCAGTGGCTAATTTTTGGTGTCAAAGTGCCAAAATAAGGCTGAAACTCCTTAAGGCAAAATGCACATATTTCCATCCCCACCCCCACCCCTACTCCCGAAACATCCAAAATGAAGAACAATCAGGCTGAATTTTTTTCACCAAAACCTGAAAACCTTTTAGGGTCTCCTGGCTTCTCAAATAATTTGAAGTATCAGATTGGAAATTGTTGTTTGCTTGCACCATAGAGTCTCAGTCTCAAAGATTAGATTAAAAATATTTTATTAGCGAAAACTATTAATGGAGTATGAAACAAATACCTTGCATCCTTTTCATAGAGAGTTTTTGGCAAGAGATCCTTGTCTACATACACTACATTGGGGTAGTACCAGACTGTGAAACGTGTATCCTGCAGACCACATAGTATGTTGCATGTGTCATTCCATGCCAGAGTATGCACCATTGTTCCTTAACAAAAAAGAAACTAAATAAACTAAATATATGTCAACTAAATTGGATAATCTATTCTAACATACTGCTCAAAACTGCAAATAGTATCATCAACTCTTCTCTACTTATACGATTCTAAATAATATATTTCTGTATTCAAAATAAAATGCTTACATTATTACTTATCTTGAAAGATTAAAACAATAGAAGCATGTTGAAGTTGATTCCATGTACAGGTTTTAAAAAATCTTCTTCAGATATCCAATCTGACGCTTCATATTAATAAAACTGCCACTAATGCGTAGCCAGCTACTCCTTGTCCATTGCTGTCATTTGTACATCTGTACCACTTAGCCTTTGGGGTTTAATGCTTTAGAAACTCAGGTATACCTGTGTGTGTATTATACCACAGTGTTGCTACTGGTTCACCCGAACCAGAGCGAATTGGCTGAATACCACCTATGATTCAGGCCCTCCGTGAAGGCACAAAAGGTGTGTGTGTGCATTGGCAGCCAGCAGCATTCTCATTCTCCCCCCCCTCTCTCACACACACACTTCTATCCTGTCCATCTCACCTAATTGACTGTGCTATACATGAACTTTTAACCACTAATCCATTTTTATGAACCAAGTAACTGGCAGTGATGGTCTCAGAAGTGAGCAAGTGTTGCACCTGGATAGACGGTGAAAACTGTAGAGTCTGCAACTGAAAACATAGTGAACCTCTGTGGACCACAATGAAAATCACAGCTTTATAGTGCTTAATATACATACTTAATATAGTAAGCCATTTCTTACCTATTTTGATAATTTTCTGTTCTTTTCCAAATCTTTTCACAGAGGTTATATAAAGATCTCTATTTTTGTCAATAAAAGCAATTTTCCTTTCATTCGTAAGACCCTTCTGATCTAAGGCAATTTCCACTATTTCTGTCTGCAACAATATTTGAATCAAAACCCAGATTTGTATCAAAGAAAGATTGTTTTTACAGTAATAAAGATTTGTATTCTCAAATATGTTAATATTGCTACTGTCAACAATATAGTACAATATTACCAATTAAAATTTTACTTATATTATACTTACTGCTATAGCACATTAAGTATAACTGTGTGAGAGTTGGGCAGCCATATAAATTAGTGTAATAAATAAAATAACAGATAATTTAGAAAACACATGTTCTTATAATATGATGGAAGAGGTAATGTAAATGGCATTGGTAGGAGATGATCTAAAGTTGGAAATATAGATTTTCCATATAACCCATCTATATTTTATTTCTCAATCTATCTTCCCAATGGAACTTAGTAGCTTAGGGTCACATAAAATGGGAATGGAAAGAAACAATTTTAGAAAATAGATAAAGAATTATTAATCCACAAATTTAAGACTATGGAGTGGTCCTACTTAAGCGAGAGCTACTATTTAAATATTTCAGATTGATTCAGAGAACTTCATGCATGCTTAAATGGGTTTCCTCATTTCAGGATAGAAAATTCTTTTGTTATCACCATAAAAAAGAGATTAAAATGATATGACATGTTCAAGTTGAACAGTTGTGGCATATGACTACAGTAATAAGGTTTCATTCAAATAAAATATAGTATTTTAATGTTATTTTATAAGAACAAGAACTGTGAAAAAGATGCCTACACAAGAGACACAAATTCTTAATGCTGATATTGCTTGAACAATACCAGCTTTCAATCACCTTGCTTCTGATTCTTATTGATTTTTTAAAAAAATCTTCCTTCAACTCAGTCTCAGAATAAGCATCAATGAACACAACTGACTTCTCAGTAACCACATAACACTTTCTACAGGAATCTGCTCAGACTGATCAGATTTCAAACTGAAACTTGCTATGGTAATAGAAAATAGAATCTGGGTAAACATTTACTCAGTGCCAGTAACTTCTTGATATAAGTTGTTCATAAGATTATACTTTTTTCCAATATAAACTACAGAAATATTAAACATTATTTACCTTATGACTAAGGGGTTTTCCATCTCCTAATGGTTTGCCAGATAAAGGTTCAAACAGATCAATAACTGTATTTTTAAAAAGATAAAATCTGATTACTGATATATAGATATCACATTTTCAGAAGTCTCTTACTGTAATGATGGTACACGTACAAAAAAGTATCAAATGGAGACCCTACTAGGTTAATTTAATAAATGCATTTAACAGTTCAAATAAGGGCACTGTTCACCTTTACTGTGTAGTTAGTACAATATGTAAGTCATATTCTTTTGAGAGATTATTGCTAGTGATCTAGCAATCTATCTCTCTGCATCTCAATTTAGCAAACAGTAATTTCTATTCTTCTTTTCAAGGCATAAAATGCTTTATAACTTTGATTCAATTTATTATTTTTATAACTACCATTCTCCTGGCTGAGATGTAATCCTCTGATGAGGAACAGAATAATGCTGAGGCACATAGGAAGGCTCAGGTCCAATAACAGTTGAGTACCGGGTCTCATAGTCTGACCTTATAAATTATAATTGTAAGGCCACCATCTCCTTCAAGCTGGAAGTTATACTACAAAGTTATGTACTATATAACGAAGTTATAATATAAAGATCTGGAAGTTATAGTACAACTATTGGTAGATCTCAGCTGAAGACTCTAATTGAACTTGAAATTAAGGCCGTAAATCAGGATGGCTTCATGTGGATCCTCATATGATTGCACCCAATATTACAGCAGACATTAAGCGAACAAGTGGTCATAAAATGAACACGGTAGTTGTTAAGTGAATGTCTCAGTCATTAAATAAGCTCTTATTTAGGAAATATTGCATTAGAAAAATGTATATACAATCATGTATAATTTGTAGAAAATTCCAACTCATGGACTATTGGAAATAATATTTTGAACTACTTTAAGATGTTCTACTTTGAAATACTTTCTTGGAAGGCTGATTTTTGTCATTACAAACTTAGTTGGAATCTCTTTCAAACTTCAATTTGCTCTTGGTAAATGCAGACTTGGTGCTGAAGCAGCAAAGTGAAAACATTTGGGGATAAATATTTTGCTGCATGATTCTCATTGAAGTCAACAGAAATGCAGTGCTTTATGTTGATTTTATACTTTAAAATTAAATAACTGTTCAATATTTCTGCATGTGAGGTTTCTGCACTAGTATACTAATAATGTACAGTAAACATTTCAGAATGCGAAGGCATTTACAGGAATTATTAATTCTAAACACAATCTAAACAATTTGATATTACATGCCAAATCTAACTGATAATCTCATTTAAATTCAATGCAGCAAACATATTGAACTTTCAAAGATTCCTCCATTTGAATATTATGACTTTCTTCAGAAGGATACAGGATATTGGTTTGCGGTCACTGGCTGTATTGGCAGGAAAAAGTGCTGTTATAAGAACAGGTGTTGTTCTGATCTTATTGGTTACATATGAAAAAAGAGTTAAGTCCATTGCTAGTTTGAGCCAGCTGTGTAAACACAAGAAAGTAACTTCTGACTTCAGAAAGTTGGGATCTTTTTTTGATGCAAATTTTTCCTTCTCAGATTCATTGCACATGCTTTTACAAAAGCTTTTATTTAAACACTTGTGATAATAACTTGAAAAATAAAATTAGGAATACTGAATACATTAAAAACTACACTGTTTCTCAAAGAAGAATGAAAAAAGAACAAAAGCTTATAGGGTTTTTTTTAATTTGTTGATTATTAAAACACACAAAATAGCAAAAAGTATTACAAAAAGAACAAAGAACACAATTCTGTACTATCATGTGATATGATGGCTGATTCCAAACATATTATACAATTAATATTATTTCACAAATATTTTACTGCTTTTTAAAACAAACAGAATTGCTTTTCAATTTAAACTATCTTTTATAAATCATTTGTGGTTTTAAAAAAATACATATGGGCATTAGATCATCATGGATAGAAATGTTTCCAAGTAGGAGATTGTGTTACCATATCCTCATATCTGAGAATGAATAATCTTTTCAGAGTCATGTTTTGACTTTATATAGGAAGGAAAAATTTCCACATATTTTAATTAATTAACATATAAAACATATTTTAAACATTACATTAAAATATGTGTACACATACCTTTTTCATCAGATTTGTCCCTTATAGCTAAAGTATCACTACTCAAGGATACAGTTTGGCCATTCAGTATGTCAGTTCTCATGCCTGGAAACTTTGGAGAGGAAATTAAACGTCCCTCATAGGAATATAAGTAGACTCCTCCACCATCAACAAGAACAAAATGCCTAAGAGTTGGCGGTGAGATTAAAGCCATCAATAACTTGATTAATATTATAGTAACAATTAGTCTAACTGTTTTGTAAATTGCTTGCATTGTTTAACAAGTTTATTCCATTATTTTAACATATAAAATATTATGCTAGCATTTGTTTTGTTTTTAGAGTTTTCTATTCTGTCAAAATAGGCTGTCTAATATTATTTTGAATAAATCCTGTTTCATTTATCCAACATGCATATATTAGCACACGGGTACCTTTACCATTTCTGAACTCTCAGAACATCATAAATGTTTAATTAGTTCATTTGCATAAAGGAGTGGAATATCAGATGACCATTTTACATTCAGGCCAATACAGACTAATGCTCCAATTACTTGATTGCAGTTAAATGATAAGCAAATAACTATTAAATTTCTTTTCTCTTGCCTGCTCTCTTCTCAAAAATAATTTTGCAGCTGATTCTCAGCATCCAAACAGGTTCTTAATGTGTAAAAAAGGAAGTTTATGAAATGAGATAATAACAATGACATCAATAATCTATTCCAACTATAGATTAAAACTGGATATAACCTTGCTTTGGAAGAAGGCTTGGTAAAATAAGCATTCAGTAGGCAATGCTGGACTGGACTTAGCTAAACACCGTTTTGAGACAAGCCTTTCTAGAAAGAAGCAACCCCCCCCCCCGCTCATTAATGCTACTCTCCAACTTCGAATAGGTAAGGATGAAAGGCTGTCACAACAAGTTAGAGCTCCAACCATCTCCAGCAGGCAATTAGGCCAATGTTAATGCCAATATATCTTTTTGTATAAGCCATTGCCATTCTTCTCCTGCTAGGAAGATATAGCAGACATTTGTTTTAGCTCTCGAGTTACAACCAACAAGTGACAGACCTAAAATAAATAGTAGGTTACTGCCAGTGGTGGGATTCAACATTTTTTACTACCGGTTCTGTGGGCGTGGCTTGATGGGCATGGCAGCAGAAAGATACTGCAAAATCTCCATTCCTGCAAAATCCCCATTTCCTTCTGATCAGCTAGGACTCGGGAGGCAGAGAATAGATGGAGCGGGGCCAGTCAGAGGTGGTATTACCGATTCTCTGAACTACTCAAAATTTCCGCTACCGGTTCTCCAGAACTGGTCAGAACCTGCTGAATACCACCTCTGGGTACTACCTACATTTAAGATTGAGGGGGAGGGGGAGAGATGGAAAACCCCAATTATTGTTTCTACTCTGTAGTTCCAACTATATGAGAAATGGTCAGGTTCATTTAGCATGCTTGATCTGTTACTCCACAGAAAAACACGGAACGTGGGATTGTCAATCCCTATTGAAATCAATGCAAATGGAAACGCCTTATGGTATTTGAATAAATTGTACTTTAATAAAAATAAATAGTTTAAATAGTCATTTAAAATATATACCTTTCTGCTTGTAAAATTAAACTGACAGTTCCTTCTTTGAGGTCAAAGATTAAAGGTGTATTCCAGTTTTTAACTCTAAATAAAGGGAAGGCAGTACACATTTAACAATTGTTTATACAAAGCATTTAACAAATGTCTTCATTTATACAGAATCACAAGAAGGCTACATATTCTTAGATTGCCAAAATTATGTAAAATATAAATACTTTTACTTGATTTAAAAACAGATTGATTATTTAATTGCCTTTTCTGTATTTTGGCTTTAGTTATCATTATAACAATACTGTTTATTTACAGCTGCTGTGATTCAAAAAATATACATAGACATGTGTGAGTTGTATTCTACAAGAACCCTGCATATTCCTTTAAAGCAGACACACACCCATTTAAAAAGAACTTTATATTAAAAAAAAGTTCAGTGATTTGGCAGAAGAAATTGGCTAAACAAATCAATTAAGCGTTCTAAAGAATTCATAATTGCTTTAAAAGACATAGTTCTGTTAAGGAAACCATATGGGTTCACTACAAAGGCTTTGCTCATAGATAACTAAGCATACCCGGTCAATTCCATGAGTAATTGTGATGAGTTTATACTGTAGTTTATTTGTTAAATTCTGGCTGCTTCTCTAAATCAAACCACATCAAAGTTATTAAATATTTACAATTTATCAGATAATATATCTTTAATTCTAATTACTTACGAGAATATATAACACTGAAGAGATGTTGAAACTACTAAATAACCAAAATTCAAAGATGCTTTAATGACTCTGTCACGAAATTCCAGCAAATCCACTGCATCATTAAGTACGTTACGAACCTAATAATTTAAAAAAAGCTTAGTTAAATCAAACTTAAATATGTAAGTACAGCATTTCAACTATAATAAATGTAAAGAAATATATAATTTCTTCAGCATTGTATTTAGCAATTCAAATACTTAAAAAAAAAACACCTTACAAGCAATTATTTGAAAATAAGACCACATAGTATATCGAGAGAGAATGAACTAAGCCAAACCAAACTGAAAGGACTCAATATTTTAATGTAACACCTAGCTTAAAGATGGCAAGAACAGAGCTGGGCATATCCTTTGAAAGGAGTGTTTGCAAAATATATCACTGAGGCAATCATATATTTCCTAAGTCTGCGCAGCTACTTCAGAAGCTCTCCCAGCTGTTTCCATATATGCATACTTTTTGTTCTCTTCTTGTGCAATGGATATATTGTGCATGTGAGGAGCCTCTGAAGTAGTCATTTAAGTTGGGACTGCTTAAACTGGGAATTCAAAAATAGATGCTTTGTATACTCTTATGAATTCTAAAGGACTGCTTACAAAAGACCTGCAATACTCTAATGTTCAAACTACCAGATTAGGTCCTGACAAAAATATTTTCCATACATATGACAGGATATTTTTATTTATCAAATTTAAGCACCACCTGTCTCACTTTCAGATAATTTTTAAAAGTTTAAATGGGCAAAGTATTGCTTTTTAAGGAACCTAAAGTGTAAATTTCAGTAGAAGTAGGCTGTGAACCTCTCTTCATTCTCCATCCTATTGAGGCATTTCAGTTGACTTTTTTTTAGTTCACACACAAAAACCCCATCACCTACTGGAAGTATCTATGACACAGATTCCTTGTTAAATCTAACCTAAAACATCTCCCTTCCTTGGCATTTTCCCAAATAATAATATATCATTTTTTCCTTTGAAATTTGCAATGTTCCTGTTATTATATTGGGACACTCTGCCACACTTCTTTGGCTCATGAGAATTATCAATTTTTCATGAGTGGGACCCACATTATGTTCATATAGACACTTCTTGTATCTCTTCCTGTATCTACATTCAAATTTCATTTTTATTTTAAAAAAAGTGAATTCTATCCATATATAATCAATGATCTTCCTCTGCACATCACAGAGATTTAAAATCTGGTTGATAGAACTGATAATGTTCTGGAGTTTACAGAAACACTGTTTACAACTGATCATCAAATTTGCTACCAGTTGAAACACTCTGATAATAATTAAGTGGTAATAATTAAATAATTAAACCACTTGGAAGAGCTTTGCATAGGGATATGCAATGAGATGCGCTGACAACAGAATATTACTGTTTTCTCCAGGAAATTCCGTTTATCCCCTTGAATGGACCAATCTGGATATTCTGGAAAAGTTCACAATATTTAGGACTTTCTCTAATGCTTAATATATCTAAGTCATCACAAACCACTTTCTATTCAGTGTACTTTCAGAATAACACCTAGATCAGAGCATTCTAGAGGAAAAAGATGTAACATTCCACTGCTGGAAAGTCTCATTTTGTACATTCATGTTTCTGCCTGCAGAATTTATAATCAATGTTTCCTTATCACCTCTTAGCACTTGGAAGTATTTTTTTTCTAAACTATCAGGCTAACAGTAATAAATTCACTTTTGTGCAGAAGAATGAAGGAATGTGTGTTATTTTATTTCACCCCTCCCCCACTTAATTGGATGAATGTTGGAGGGCGCTGAATTACTGGATAGTTTAGACTGGCCAAAATTACTCACCGAACTTCCATGGCTAAGAATGGACTTGAAGCTGAGTCTCCCTGGCCATAGTCCCTATTGTTAAGCACTATTACACACTGGCTCTCCAAAGAGATTCCAGTATATCTGACTATGCACAGAGCCCTTGGATCTATCTAAAACAACTATTTGTCACAATACATATTTTCAAAATGTTAAAAAATCATTAAATCATATTGTAAATAGTTGCTATATTTGGCTTTGTACTGCTTGCATTAGGGATTTAATTAATACATCAGAAAAATCCTGGGAAATGCTTGAAAGAAAATCTGCCATTTTTGCAGAAAGAATAGCTCTTTTTTATATAGTTGCAAAGAAGTCACAGACAACTGGGACTTACAAACAGTCCTCCTTAAGTTTTTACTGGGAAGTAAGTTCCACTGTACCATAATATCATAGCTGGAGGGAATTTAGCAGGTTTATAGTCCAACCTCGCAGACAAAAGGCTGTTCAACCTTTACTGAAAACTTCCAATAAGCTCCCAAAACTTTAGGAGGCGCCACTGCTTAATAGCCCTCATGATCAGGAAATTCCTCCCTATTAACTTTGGAATCTCCTTCTATAAAGCCTCAACCTGCTGGTTCTTGTTCTACCTTTGGGAGCTATGGAGAATAAATTCCCATTCTATTCTCTATGACAATCCTAGTATTGGAAGACTGCTATCATGTCTCCCCTGGATCTTGGTTTGTTTAAGCTAAACATATCAATGTCTTTTAACTCTTTTTCAAAGTGATTAGCCTCCAAGCACCTCATCATCTTTGCTGCTCTTCTCTGTACTGTTTCCAGTTCCCTAGGGTCCTCCTTAAATTAACATGAGAAGAACCAAATATGGTATTTCAAGTGTGATCTGACTAGTGCAGCACAGAACTTCCTATGATCTCATTAGCAATTTTTGGCAGATGCAGCACATTGCTGGCTCATGCTTAATCTGTGGCCTACAAGGACACTTACATATTTCTCACAGTACTGTTTACAAGCCAGATACCACCTATCTTGTACTGGTACATTTTATTTTTTTTACCTCAGTACAAAACTTTATATTCTTGTTGACAAATTGCATGTTGTTGGTTGGAACTCATTGTTCAAGCTTATCAAGATCCTTTTGAAGTGTTAACAGTACTTCTCCTATCGATTTTGTGTTATCTGCCAACTGGATGAGCATCCTATTTATCCCATCACCTATGTCTTTATGAAAAAGAAAGCACTAGGCCCAAGATAGAAATCTGAGGTACCCACTGGATACCTCATTCCATTTGACTTGGAACTATTAAAAGATCACATACTGAGCCCTGTTCTTAAACCAATTATGAATCTATCTAGTGGGATCATCCATCCCATATATTTCCATTTTCAAAGGATATTCAACTGGATTTACTTCTGAGTAGACATGTATTAGAGGCTGGGGCATTTAAAATGTTGTAAGCAGCTCAGGATCAATCGCCTTCAGGCAAGATGGGCAGCAAACAAATCAAATAAAAAAATAAATAGCTTCAACAAAACCTTTACAGAAAGTTAACATTTGAAAAATTAAAATGGTCAGTATTCCTTAGAAAAAACAATGATAACAAATAAGAATAGATAAAATATTGATAAGTTATTTAATAAATACAAAAAATGAGCCACTTTTTATTTAGTAATGGCATTCTATTTACATAAATATATAATGAAATTAATTATAAAAATAATATAAACTAGAGAGAGAAGCACTACTTGCCAACTAAAAACTAAAGCAATACAATATCCAATATCCTGTATACCTAACATTCATATGCAATATTAATAGTATACTTTAGTAATAAAAATTTCATTGTACAGGTTGCTCAAATACAGGGTTTATCACATTCATTCATTACAATTTTATGGCTGGAAGTAAGTATAAAATATGATTTTTACCTAACAAATGTGTTTTCTGTATTTCCAGACAATGACTCATACCATTCCATCCAGTGAATATTCCTTTTATATAGCCAGCATCAAAAATGCCAAATGATTTTTAAATGTTTAATTAGAGATTTGGACAGTCTAGTCAAGGACTAAAAAACTTGGTCTAAATTTCTAAATGTGAAATTCAGAAATTGTGTATTATCTTCCAGTCTTCTGGTGTGAATATAAGTCACTGACTTTCTGGGAAATATGGCACATTTGCCAGATGAAATACTATTTTATACTTCTAGATTGATCTGGCTCAGTTTTTACTGTAGGATAATTTTGATAAAAACCTAAACCTAACCTCTGAATGTAACTTAAAAAATTCTGTTGTCCAAAAATATTTTATTAAAAAGTTTTAATAAAGGGCCTCTTTAATTTTTGCTATAGCTATCTATAGGCTGATTTTAGCAATACACAATAGGAAAGTATTCCCCAGTCAAGCTTATTGAATATGCAACTATCTAGTAATAAAACAACTGATCAGCATTATGCCTTGTTGAAAGCAATTATAATATCTACCAACATTTTATAGAAATATATATTAATCAGTTTAATTATGGTTTGGGAAAAGGGATGATAATTTACTTTACCATGATTTTAGAAAAAATAAAATAGGTATCTTTTACACCTGTCCTTGACAAAAAACCGTACAAAAGAAAACCCAACACTTCAGTAACAGCCAACAACACTGCAGCTGCTATAATGGTAAACCACAGCTGTACTGCATACAAATAAGGCTTTTTTAAAAAGGCAATAAAGTTTTCAAACATGGAGTATATGTTATTGCTTCCAAAGTACTGACTTTGTTTTCAGATATCACAAAAATATTTCCAGTATAAAAAAATATTTTTTTGATTCTGACTTTCTAGCCAATGAAAACATCAATCCAGATTGGAATACACATTTTATGTACTCTAGAATATACAAGACTGTAGCATTTGACTATGTTCATAAGTACATGAACCAACATGCACATTCCACTGGGGACACACTGAAGGGTGTTTTATTATCTAGCTAAATGGTAATATGTTAATCTCATGAACAACATGATAACATTGACTTAACATAAGTAAATTCTAAAACAAAAAGTCTCTGATTCAAGTTTGTCAACCACAAAAATCATATCTAAATGTATCATTTTGAAGGAAAAAGTTGCGTTTAAAAAATAATCCACTGTTCACCAAGCTTTAGATAGCCAACACATACCTCCATGGTTCTTCTCTTAGTTAATGTTATTCCAAAGTTTTTCCATACCCAGCGCTGTTCCACAACATGAGCAAAAATCACATGTCCGTTTCCACACGCCCCAGCTAATTGTGTACCATCAGTAGACCAAGCAATATTGAATATGCTGCCAGTGTTTGGTTTCTCTAAAGCATAGGACCACTGCAAAATATTTTAAAAAAATAATTAAAAATTCCTATAGTTAATATATAAAACATATAATAAAAAATGTTATACATTTTGTACATGATTAATAGCACTGTAGATATGTCTATTTTCATTTTGTTTTTTTAAAGAAAAGACAAGAAAGTCAAATACTCTTTTTATAAGATAAACTATGTGCACAATAAAAGCAAAACTACAACATTGCTACCATTTCACACAACAGCATTTTTTAAATTTAACATGACATAATATTGCTTTTAATGACAAATGTACTTTAAATGCAGTACATTATTGTAAAAGATTCCATTTAAGAATATACCTATTTTTAAAAAATGAAAAAGATGGCACTAGAAATACTTGAATAGTAATTACTAAAATGTTGGCACTTTCAAAATTATATTTCTTGTTCCAAGTCTTGTCAATTGAAATTTTGGGGTGGGGGTGGGAGGGATGAACCAATAGTGCCAGAGAAAAATAAAAACATTTTATTTTAATGCTAAAAGGTTGTGGATGCATAGGAAAATTCTTTATAGGTCACAGAGGCAGGGAGAATGGGAGATAACTTCATTAAAACTATATAATAAAATAGTTCATTTGGAATATGTGATTCCATTCATACTGGAAGATAGCAAAACCATGGATTCAGATATAAGAGTTACAAGAGTATTGTAATTAGGTTCTTATAAAAGTAAGCAACATAAAGAACACATTTAATAAAGCTATGTTTCAGTTTGAAGGATGAAAAGTTTAGAAGTGAGAAACAATGTTTCCTCATTAACTTATTTTAAAGAGCATCCTGATTTTTATAATATATCTAGGACAATTCCATTCTGGTTATGAAGACAATGTGATTAATATAAAACAAAAGATTTCTATAATAACATGTTACACAGTAAGTAAGAGATAAAAATCTAAGGCAGACCATCAGATATCTTGATTTGATTTCACATCAAATGTGATTTCAATTTAAAACTTTTTTGAATGATAAAGTGAAACAGCTAAATCAGTCTTTAAACAATTTTGAGAAATCAATAATTATCATTCATAACCAAAAAGAACAATTTCCAGAACATACAAGATCCTACTGCACACAAGGTTCTGAGGGTAGAACAAGAATCAATGGGTGGAAACTAATCAAAGAGAGAAGCAACTTAGAACTGAGGAGAAATTTCCTGACAGTTAGAACAATTAATCAGTGGAACAACTTGCCTCCAGAAGTTGTGAATGCTCCAACACTGAAAATTTTTAAGATGTTGGATAACTATTTGTCTGAAATGATATAGGATTTCCTGTCTAGGCAGAGGGTTGGATTAGAAGACCTCCAAGGTCCCTTCCATTCTATTCTGTTCAAGGGATAAACTGCAGGCTATGGGATATAGATTTGAGCCAACAATCAATAACAATTAAATAAAATGTTTGAAGGGATGCAAACAAAAGAATCCATTTATTCCTATGTTGTATTATTGTAAAAAAAAATATGGGAGGTAAAAATGTATCCTTGGGTTGCGTTTATTACCTTTATTTATTTACTTGTTAAACTTATTTGCTGCTTATCTTAATATGGGCTACAACACTAAAAAGGAAGAAATTATATCTATCTATCTATTTAGCTGTCTATCCATCCATCCATCCATCCATCCATCCATCCATCCATCCATCCACACACACATATATACACATATATGTATATACATACATACATACATAATTTTTAAAAATTCACATAAAATTTAATTTTTTGCATGGAGGAATGAATCACAATGGAATGCTGATACCTTATTATTATAGTGTAAAATATTGAATGAATGTGAACTTTTAAATGTTTTTAGAATAATACATAATTAACGCAAGATTTAAAGCAAAAAATGAAAAATAAAAGTTCATTTCAAAACTGTTTAGTCAATAAAACAGAGTACTATTGTGAAACATTTCTGTAAATATGTAGGGTGAGAAAGTTCATAGGGGAAGAACTTTCTTTGTGGTTTCCAAGCAGGTGTTTTATTGTAAGGAAATGCTATTAAACACAGAGATATTATCATACATGAAGTGGGGCACATAGATCAAGCAGGGTGCTTCAAAAATATATCAATGGATGGTAATTGGGTATATAGTAAAATAATATTTTAAAAAGATCTACTATTCTGTATTCCCCACAAATACGATTCTCTGTTGTCTAAAAGGACTCTCAAGCACAGAGAGAAAACAGAGATAATAATCAAATGGTGTTACATAAAATGTTTCTAACATAAGAAGCCAAAAATTGCACTGGGAAACCATGGTTTATTCTTTCTTTGGATCAATTAAAAAAGAATGCATTATATAATTTACATATATAGCATTATATACAAATACAATCACATACTTTGTATTTCATTTGACAATTCAGGTAAATCATATGACAATGTCTTCTCTTAAATTAACTGGAATAATTATGTAACTGCTATTTATTTTGTGCATGACAGTAATAACACAAAATCTATTTTCTAGGACAAAGACCAAAAGGTGTTATTGTTACAAAAACAGTCAAAACCGCCTCTCTCAAGTACAAACTGGGAAACAAAACTGAGTGAAATAAATTACTGCGATTATATCTTACTTTTAAGAAATTTCTTTCATTGTTCAATCAAAATGTATTCTGTATTGTATTGATCCCTGATATATAGTAGCAGAAAACCAGTTTACTATCTTCTATATGACAAACCTTCAGTATATAAGAGAGAAATATGAAGGAGTGGGGGATTTTTTGCAGAAAATTCATTGTTTCATCACATAAGAAACCTCATTTTTGTTCCAAAAAGATAGCAGTTGTGGAATACTAGTGGAGTCCATCCCTTTTTTTCTCCTGCCACATTCCTGTGCAGTGAAAATATAAATTTGTCTGTTTCGTAAGTATTTTAGGTGATTGGCAAACATATCCGGGTACAACTATATGGCTGATTCAGCTTTGTACAATTGAATTGAAGATGAACTTCATAAAGTTGCTAAATTCATCATGGAAAGGCCTTCTTTTAGATTACTTCTAAAGGTTGACATGAAGTGCCAAAAGCTCTCCCAGAGAACCAGAGATAACTATCTCAGTTAAAACCAGAGTCTACTCTTCCAGAAACAGATTTCCTGCTATACCAGATCTTAATATAAAACAGATGCAAGTGCAAGTTTTTTTTAAAAAAAAACATTGTGCTTATATTTGCTGTACTTTCTTGACTGGTTGAAGATAATTCTGAGGACTCACACGGTTATGGAAGAGAGAAACAAATAAAGCAGCTATTACCAAACTGCTCGGCACTTGGGCTTGGCAAACCACACCTCAAATTTGTACACATTGCCTGGCGATGAAATTCCTTCGCAGGTGTACAGTACTGAGAGGTGAGATACAAACACATCAAAGCGGGGAAGAAGTTTTTTAATTATAAAGTATACAACCATTTACCAGTAAGTTCTTTTCTTCATGAAGTTCCCCAGTTAATCTATATAAAATAGCCTTAATTGGCCTAAATTTCTGCTTGGAAATATTTTTGAATATTTTCATGTTCTTTATTATTTTTCAAGAAATTTTCTTCTTTCTATTTGCCTCTTAAGCCCAACTACCACCGCACCTTTGCATTTTATTCTTCTGCTTTAGATGTAAGTAAGACAATGCAATTTTCCCTTGTAAATACAGCGACAAGGATATGTGCAAGTGCTTCAGTAATTAATTCTCTGCTATGCTGGCTTTATTTTTCTACACAGGCATTCAAGAAATGAAGGACATATTTTCAGATCAAGAACTGTTATTTGGTTTTTGAATGGCATTCAAGGAAGTGGTTTTCAATTAAACAAATATGGATGAATAAAAATAAAAACTAGTTAATACAAATTAATTAGAGGGTATGACTACATGATACCCCAGTTATTTACCATGTATTGGTTAAAACATATTTCTCACTTTCTCTATAATTATTATATCTCAGATCACAATTTCACTCAAACTTTTTTTAGCTATCATTAGACTGTTGATGATAAATCCAGCCGAGCTTGACTTCTGTAATTATTAACTTCTGAGCTCTCATATTATATAGACCTGTGATGCCGAGGTGGCATGCAGAGCCCTCTCTGCGGGCATGTGAGGCGTTGCTCCAGCTCAGTTCTGCCCTGCATGTGTGCATGCCTCCTGCCAGCCAGCTGATTTTCATGTCTCTGCCATGCATGTGTGGGGGGAGGGGTGCATGCAAAAGATGCATGTGCATACGCGGGGGTGGGGCGCATGTGTGTGGGTCATGCATGTGTGCATGGGGGAGGGGAGCATGCAGGGGTCACACAGGCACACATGTATTGTAGAGCCAAGGTGGCGCAGTGGTTAAATGCAGCACTGCAGGCTACTTCAGCTGACTGCAGTTCTGCAGTTCGGCTGTTCAAATCTCACCGGCTCAGGGTTGACTCAGCCTTCCATCCTTCCGAGGTGGGTAAAATGAGGACCCAGATTGTTGTTGGGGGCAATATGCTCACTCTGTAAACCGCTTAGAGAGGGCTGAAAGCCCTATGAAGCGGTATATAAGTCTGACTGCTATTGCTATTGCTATTATGGGTGTGCACACGTCAACGCTTTTGGCACTCTGTGCCAAAAAGGTTAGCCATCACTGATACAGACTGTTATTCAGATAAATGATTTCTTATTAATTTATAAATTATATTGATTGCATTTATTTTGGGATCTTTTCAATTTCATTTTAATCATTGTTCTATATTAATTTATAAAAAAATATTTGTTGATTTCTGCAAAAGTAAATCTTTGAATATTTTGATTTTTATATACTTTAACCAATGTCTAACTATTTATTTTGTTTCCTAAGAGATTATAGTATCATTTGAGAACAGTAATTCAATATATAAAAAATAATGTATGGTGACTGAAATAACTTTTTCTACCAAAAAAATGTTGCAAATTATAAGCAACCATGTTTCCAGTTCATAGTGTCCAAAATTAGGGAAGATATATTCTTTACAGGTAGTCCTCTATT